AAAGCAAACTTTATAAATTATGATTTAACTAGATTATTAATATTTGTTATTTTAATCCAAATAATTTCAAATAAAACTAAATTAATAATAATTAATTAATTAATTAATTAATTAAATCCCATCATAATTCAAAATAGTTATTCAAAAATAAATAAATGATATAATAGAAAATACGTTATTAAAATCTAAAAGATGTAATTATTAATTTTTTAATAGATATTATTTAAATTTATTTTATTTATAAAAAAAGTTTTTAAACTCTACGCTTTAATCTCATTCAGTATTAGAAATTGATCTATAGTATATTTAATTTATTAATATTATTACAAATAATTTTTTTTCTTTAATTTTCAAGTTCATTATAAAAATTTTTCTAATAAATAATATCATCAATACTCATTATTCATTTTTAACCATACAAGTATTTTTAAAATTATTTTAATTTATTTTTATATTTATTCATTGATTTCTTTTTTTTTCATATATTTTCTTTATTTTTCCTTTTTAATAACAAATTTATTATATAAATATTCCCCAATATTTAAAAAGTTAAAATTAATTGTGTGATGAAGGAATATCAGGCTTATGTTCTGCTTTAGTATAGTGCACTAATCTCTAAAATTTAGCTTTATATATTCAGTAGGTTTATTTATTTATTTATTTATTTATTTATTTAGGGTTTTGATATTTTAAATATTAAAATGAATTTAAAATAATTTACTATTATTATAATTATTAATTTATTTATTTATTAAAAAATTAAGCTTTTATTTGTTTATTTTTTTTGAATTCTGCTTTTTTAAATTTATATTTACTTTTTTTAAATTTAACTCATTTATTTTTATCATTTTAAACTTTTGCTTTGATTTGCAATTAATTAATTTCTTATAATATTATATTTTTTCTTCTAAATAACTAACTAACTAACCAATAAATAAAATAAATAAATATATTTTCTTCAATAATTAAAAAAGTAACAATTTATTTAGTGTTGAAAGAATATCAGACTTATGTTCTGCTTTAGAATAGTGCACTAATCTCTCAAATTTGACATTAAAACTTTAGTAAAACAGTTTATTTGTTTATCTATTAGCTTTTTTAATTTTCTTTTAAAAATATATTTTTTTTCTTTATTAATTTAACTCATTTGTTTTTTAATTTTAAACATTTGGTTTGATTATTAATTAATTAGTTTCTCATTATCTTCATTTTAAATAATTAATTATATTTTAAATTTGCTTCTATATTTAAAAAGTGGAAAATAATTTGATGATAAAGCTTCAAAAGTCTTAGTTTCTAATTTAGCAAAATGCACTAATATCTTAAATTTAACACTTAATCTTAAGTAAACTAAGTTTATTTTTTTATTTTGATATTTCTTAATTTAAAAATGAATTTAAAACAATATAAATGACTCTATTAATTAATTTATTTATTAGCTTTTTATTTGATTTTTTTTTTTTATAAATTGCTTCTGTGTGTTTGTGTTTTTTTTTTCATTCTCATTAATTTTTATTTTTAACTTTTGCTTTGATTATTAGTTATTTCATATTTTTTATTTATTTTTTTCCTTCTAAATAACTAATTATATATATATATTTCTTCTTTAATTTTTAAAAGTTACAATTAAATTGGAGACGAAAATGCATCAGGCTTAGGTTCTGGATTAGGGAAGTGCACTAATCTGTCATATTTGATACTTAGTCTTTTGTAAAAACAGTTTATTCCTTTTAGATTTTAATAAGGAATTTAAAAACAAAAAAAGCATTTAAATTAATTTTGTCTAATAATTTTATATTTGGTTTATTAACTCTTATTATTTCATATGTTGATTTTTCATTCTAGCTAACTAAGTATTAAATTTTTTTATTTTTTCCAAATCCTTAAATAGTGGAAATGAAATTGGTGTGGAAGGTGCTTAAGGTTTAGGTTCTGGTTTAGCAAAATGCGTTAATCTGTTAAATTTGTAACTTAATCTTACGTAAAAAAAAATTTTTTTGTTTTGGATTTTGATAGTTTTTAATAAAAATTAACATTGATTACTTTTCTTTTTATTTTTCTTGTTTTGCTTTTATTAATAATTAGTTAATGAAGCCATTTCTTATTATTTCATATTTTTGTCTTCATTTTCTCCTTCTAAATAAATAAATAAATAACTATTTATCTAAATATTTATTTTCTTCTATACATACTTAAAAAGTGACAATTAAATTTGTAATGAAGGTTTATCTGGTTTAAGTTATGGTTTAGAAAAGTGCACTAATCTCTCAAATTTTACACTTGAAATTGGGTAAACACAGTTTATTTATTTTATTTTATTTTGTATTTTGATATTTTTTAATATAAAAATAAATTTTAATTAATTAATTGATTTATTTATTATATCTGTATCTTGAATTACTTTTCTTTTTTATTCTTTCTGAGTATTTATTTTTTCTTCTTAATTTAATTCATTTATCTTTCATTTTTCTACATTTTTCCTTCTAAATAACAAATTAACAATATATTTTTTCTTCTATAAAAAGTGCGAATTAAATTGGTGATGAAGGTATATCATGCATAGGTTCTGTTTTATCAAAATTTTCTAATCTCTCAAATTTGACACTTGATTTTTCGTAAAAATAGTTTAGTTTATTTTTTTAGGATATTAATATTAGTTATTTATTTGATTGATTTTACCTTTTTTTATTCTGATTATTTTATTTTTTTCTTAATTTTACTTATTCCTATTTTGTTTTTATCAAGTTTTGCTTTGATTATTAACCAACTTATTTTTTTATTTCTTTTTATAAAATATATTTTCTTCATTTTTTCCATTCTAAATAACTAGTTAATTGTTTAAATTTTCTTAAATATTTGAAAAAGTAATAATTAAATTGGATTTGAAGGTGTGTCAGCCTTAACCTCTTCTTTAGCATAGTGCAATAATCTATCAAATTTGAAAATTTATCTTCAGTAAAAATAGTTTATTTGTTTTTTATTTTGATATTATTTAATAGAAAAATGAATTTAAAACAATGAAATTGTTTTAATGTAATTCATTCATTCATTTATTAAATTTTTATTTGATTTATTTTCCTTTTTAATTTTACTTGTGTGCTAATTTATTTTTTTTAATAAATTTAATGAATTATTTTTTCGCTTTCAATTTTAATATGATTATAAATTAATTAATTTCTTATCATCTCATATATTTTCTTAATTTTTCCATTTTATAATATTTAATTATTTATTTTTTTATCAATCTTTAAAGTAACAATTAAGTTGGTGTCTAAGGCGATTTAGATTTTGATTTTGGAAAGTGCACTAATCTCTAAAATTTGGAAATTTCTCTAAGGTAAACAAACAGTTTGTTTGTTTGTTTTGGATTTTGATATATTTAAATAAAAATAATATTGATTACATTTTTATTTGATTTACTTTTCATTTTATTTGATCTTGTGTTTTTTATTTTTTCATTATTTAACTCATTCAAATCTTCAAATTTTGCTATGATGATCGATTAATTCAATTCATATTATCACTTCTTTTTTCTTCATTATTTCTTTTCTAAATAATTAATTATTTTTATATTTCTTCTAAATTTTTTAAAAAGTAACAATTAAATTGGTGATGCAGGTGCATCAGGCTTAGGTTCAGGTTTAGGAAAGTGTACCAAACTCTCAAATTTAGTCCTTTTTCTTAAGTATAAACAGTTTATTTTGTTTTTGATTTTGATATTTAAAAAAAAATGAATTAAAAATAATAAAGTTGTTTTAAAGTATTTATTATATTTTTATTTGATTTATTTTCATTTTCAAATTTTTTTTTTCATTAACTTATTATTATCTAAGATAACAAACATTCTCTTCATTTTTTCCTCTCACTAAAATTTAAATTTTTATATTTTCTCAATTATTTTAAAAGTCGAAACTAAATTAGTGTTGAAGGTGCATCAAGCTTATGTTTTGCTTTATCAAAGTGTACTAATCTCTCAAAATTGGGACTTTTTCTTAAGTAATAACAGTTTTTTTGTTTTAAAATTTTAATATTTTTTAAAATAAAAGTAAGTTTAAAATAATAAAATTATTTTAATTAATTTATTTATTAGCTTTTTATTTGAATTACCTTTCTTTTTTATTCTGCTTGTATTCTGTGTATGTGTGTGTAATTTTTTTTACTTTCTTAATTTCATTAATTTTTTAATTGTTAAGTTTTACTATGATTATTATTTAAAATATATCTTATTGTCTTATTTTTCTTCATTTTTTCCTTTTAAAATGTTTATTAATTTTATATTTTTTCTTGTATATTTAAAAAGTGAAAATTAAATTTGTGTTGAAGGTGAATCAGGTTTAGGTTCTGCTATAGCAAAGTGCAATAATCTCTCAAATTTGGAACTTGAGCTTGGGTAAAAACAATTCATTTATTTTGGGCTTTGATATTTTTGAACATATATATATTAGATTTATTTTTCTTTTTTATTCTCCTTGTGTTTTTATTTCTTTCTTAGTTTAACTAACTAACTAACTAATTCATTCATTTTAGAATTTTCAACTTTTACTTTGGTTAATATTTAATTAATTCAAATCATAATATTTCGTATTTTTCCATCTCATTAATTATATATTATATTTAAACATTTAAAAAGTTCCAATTAAATTGGTGATGAATATGCATCAGAGTTAGGATCTGCTTTAGCAAAATGTACCAATCTCTCAAATTTGTATCTTATTCTTGAGTAAAAACAATATAAATAACTAGCTATTTTAATTAATTAATTATCTTTTTATTTGATTTGATTTTTTTATTATATTTTACTTGTGTTTTTTCTTTCTTTCTTTCTTTCTTTCTTTCTTTCTTTCTTTCTTTCTTTCTTAATTTAATTCATTCCTATTTTCATTTTAAACTTTTTATTTGATTATTAATTAATTAACCTAATCTCATATTATTTATTAATTTTTTCCTTCTATTCAACTAATCAGTTATATATTTTTCTTTCAGGTACTCTTTTAATTTATTTTTGATTAGCTTTTTATTGATTACTGTTTTTTTATTCATCTTGTGTTTTTCTTTTTTATTTTAACTGATTTGTTTTTCATTTTCAGCTTTTAGTTTAATTATTAATTGATTTCTAATTATTTAAAGATTTTTCTTCATTTTTTCCTACTAAATAACTAATTAATTATTTATATTTTCACCAATATTTAAAAAGTGAAAATTAAATTAGAGAGGAGGGTGCATTAGGTTTAGGTTCTGCTTTATCAAAGTGCACTAATCTCTTAAATTTAAAGCTTGGACTTGAGTAAAAATAGTTTATTTGGTTTCTATTTTGATATTTTAATTTTAAAATCTTTTAATTTATTTATATCTTTTTATCAGAATTTATTTATTTATTCATTCATTGAGATTGTGTTATTTTTATTTATTAAATTAATTTATTCTTTAAATATAAAAATTTTATTCCAATAATTTTGATTTGTAATTGACAAAATTTATATATAAAGTAAAAACTAAATCAGTGAATCAGTAGAATAAAAAGTAAAGAACAAATGTCTGAAATCAAAAAGATTAGTTATCTTTGAAAAATATACCTTGTTAGTATTTTGAATAAATGGAGAAAAAAAGGATGAATAAATATAAAATTATTTGAAAGATAGAATCTAATATGTTTTATTTTACATAGTTTTGCAATAGAATAATTTAACCTAAAAAGCAGAAAGAATTATAATTACTTTTATTAATAAATTCATAATTTTGATTAGTTAAAAAGTAGTTTAAAAATAAATAAATAAATTTTTTAAAATTGAATTTCCTTAAATTAAATAAATAGATAAGGGTAATTATAGACTAATTCCACTTTTTTTATTATAAACAATCAAATATTTAAATAATTATCATAATCAAAAAATATATATGGGGAACATTTATGCTGGTGAGAATTAATTTATGAGGATTTAAGGTATTTTAATTAAATATCAACAATTAGAATAAAATAAAACAAATATCTTATTTTTAAAAATTAATTATTTATCAATTAATTAAATTGATCACACAAATAATAATTAAAAAAAATAAATATTGTAAACAAATAATTTTAAAATCAATTTAATTTTTTGTTTGGAGTATTAATTAATATTGTACAATTTTATTTATTTTTCTAAAAAAAACTTAAAATAAAAATAAAATATTTTCAAAATCTTCTAAAATAATTGAGATATTAAGAAACCTCTTTTAGTAATAAACTATTTGAATTTTAATAATGTAATAAATTCAAATCATTAGTATTAAAGGAAATATATGATTATTATTCGTTTGCCTTTAATAAAGAAATATCCCCCTTTGACTGGTTTGTCTATAAATAATATATATCAACCAGTGAACATATATAATAGCAATTTAGCACTGCTTAGATATTAATGAAAATAAACAAAATGGACATTAAAGTATAATTGACTCTTTTTTTAACTAATTTATAAATTAAAATTGTATTTAATGCAATTTTATGTATTTATTTATTAATTTTGGTATTATTTTGATTTTATTAAAATTATTTTTAAAATTTAATTTAAAAAATTTTCTAATAAATCAAAAATAATTTTTTATTGCAACTTATATTAAATTGTCTTTAAATTAGAAAAAAATCAATTTGAGCTAACTATAAAGATAATATTTTTTATTTGATTTTTTAATCTTGAATTAATAAATTTTATAATTAAAATATTTAAATATATCCAAAAAATATAAAATAGTAAAATTAATTATAATTTAAAATAAAATATGTTTTTTAATAGCAAGTAGTATTATAACAATTAGTAAATTAATTACTCAATTAACAATGTTTTAATAAGTAATTATAAATAAAATTTTATGTAAATTTTAATGCCTTTAGAGCGTAAGATGGAGGGAGGCTTGAATCAATAATTTATTACATAATTCAAGAAAATTATAATTGATAAAGCATGTAATAAAAGGAAAAAATCAAGTAAGAAGATGTTTGTTAGTACTAGTCTTAATTAATAGTACTTAATCCTAGAAAATCTAATTATACTAATTTCATGCTCTAACTTAATTAATTGATTATGTTTATAAACATAATAGTTCTAACAATTCTATGAAATAAGTTAGCCAGAAGAATATAAGCAAAGTCTAATTTCTTGATGAAGTTAATGTTTTAATTAATTGATAAAATCATTAAACATTAAAAGTAAATAATTTAATTTAAATATATTTAAAAAAATATTTTATTCATTTTTATTAAAATTATTTCATATTAAAATTAATTTTAATTTTATTAAATAAAATCTAAAATTCATCAAAGCTATTTTAGTTATTATTGGTGATAGCTATGATACTTCTTGTAAAATCAAGTTAGAGCTTGTTTCTTTATTTAGAACAAAGTCAAATAGATTAAAGCTATTTTGTTATATTTGATAGTAGTTAATAAATTCTAGCAAAATCTATTTATAGATTATTTAATTCTTAATTAATTATCCCTATAATAAATCTAAAAAGTCTATGAAATAATAACCAAAAATACTCAATTAATTGCAAAATCTAATTTATTTATTTACTGTTCATTTTTTATCTTAATTTCTATTTTTAATTTATTAATAAATTAAGCAAATATTCATCTATTATTTAATTTAAATATATTCATTGTAAGTTTTATTTTTAAGATTTATATAAAATTTAAATATAGAAATCATTTCAAATTCATTAATTAAAAAATATATTTTTTGATAAGTGACTTCCAAACGACGGAATTATTGAATGGTATCTTGCTATATATTATTAAAGTTATTTAATGCTAAAATATTACAAATGCCAATATCTTTTACATTTTGTTTATAGACAATTTTTTATTTATGTTTAATATATTTTGTAGACTTTTTGATTGATAAAAATAGCTTAGTCCTTTGTGAATATTTTATTTTTATGTAATTAATTTGAGACAAGTCTATTTATAGATTGATTAACAGCGTAGAACTAAAGATATACTTATTTATTTATTAAATTTAAAATTTAAAATTTAAAAATTGATTTTTATCAAGATTTACTTATTATAAAAATAGTATTTGAGCTTTTTTCTTAAAAGATAATTAAATAAATAAATAAACAATTTAATTATACTAAAAAAAATAAATGAGATTCTGTGCCTTTGTTTTACTTGCTCTTGTTGCAATTGCTGCTGCCTAATAAGATGCTACTACTGAGAATGATAAATAAGCCTAAATTTAGGAATGCATCGATAAAATTGGAAAACCATGCGAAAATGGTACTACTGAAGAAAAGTAAGATTGCAATCTCGAATTAGGTAAGCTCTTTAATTGCTTAGATAAATGTTTTGAAGAAAACAAAGAAAACAAAAACGAAATTTACATTTGTTAGAAATCCAAATGTAAATCCGAAAATGATGATGCCTAAGCTTTCTATGATAAGAAGATTTCTTGTATGAACAATGGAATTAACATTCTTGCTTTTACTGTCATAGCTTCTGCTCTTGCTTTATTATTGTGAAAAAATTCATATTTTTTAAATTAGTTGTTAGGTGTTTTATAAGTTTTTGTCTTGTAAGATTATGCCTAATATTTTTAGAAAACAAATATCTATTAATTTTTTTATTTAATCAAAAATATTTAACATAAAAACTAATAAATAAATAAATAAATAAATATTTTTTAATGAAGCTTTAAAGTATTTTAATTGACAAAAATTGTTTGTAAAATGTATATTATTAACATTTTATATTTAAATATATTAAAGATAATTAAAATTAATAGAATGTGATCATAATTATAAATAATTTTAATGATTATCTTTCAATAATTTATTTTAAAAATAGTTTATCAGAAATGAAATGAAATATAATTTATTTAAAATTTTAAGACCAGTTAGTTAAAGTAAATATAATTAAATTATTGTAAATTCAAATTTAAAAGTCAGTAAATGAAAATAAACTTAAGATTATTTAAAATAATAAATAGTAATTTTATTTATAAAAATTCATTTTTTTCTATAAAAAATAAAAATTTAATTAATGTTCCCCAGACCAAACAAACCCAAAAATTTAATTTATGCCTCATGGGGCTATTATATAATTTTCTATTATCTATTTTTATTCAATTAAATATAATAACTTACTCAACTTTCATATTTCTACATAGCTTAGTTAAACTAAAAAATTAATTAAAAACAAATAAATATGTGTAATTGAATGACATTTTGCTATATTATAAACTTAACTCTAAATATTAAATTAAAAATATTATTTTACATCTTATATAATATACATATTTCTTTTTATAATAATATTATAAATATTTAAAATTATCAAATCAATTAATTAGTATAGTTTATTGTAATATAAGTAAATAAAATTTTATGTAAAATTAATTACCTTTAGAGTGCTGAAAGAAAATTCAGTAAGTAGAAAGCTTTAATGAATAATTTATTATAAAATTCAAAAATATTATTATAGATAAAGTCAGCAATATAAAGAAAAAATCAAGAAATAAAATATACTAGTCATTATTTAAATTAAAAGTGCTTAGTTCTAATAAAATCTAATTATACTTAATCCATCCTATATTTGTTTTTACTATTTTTAATTAATTATGTCTACATTAATAATAGCTCTAAATCTATGAAATATGATAACCATAAGAATATAAGCATAATCTAATTTATCGATGAAGTTTATGTATTAGTAAATTGATAGATAAAGCCATTATTCATTAAATATGTATAATTTAATTTAAGAATATTTTTATTATTTTTTTATGGTTTTCCTATTTAAAAATGTTTGATATTGAAAATTAATGTTATTACTTAGATTTATTTATTATTGATGACAGTTACTATAATCCTGGTAAATTATGGCTTGTTTCTTTAGAATAAAATCTTATTGATTAAATCTATTTATTTTGATAACAGCTAATAAGTTCTAGAAAGTATAATTTTAGTATATTTAATGCTTAATTAATTAATTATATATCTAAATGCAAAAATCTATAAAAATTAGAACCAAAAATATTAAATGAATAGAAAAATCAAAATTATTTATATATTTATCTATTTTAATTCACAATATTATTTTCATTAAAAGTAGCAACATTATTTAAGTAAATTTTTTAATAAATTAATTATGGTTGGTCCATTTAAAAATGTTAGATATATATTCATTTTTTAGATTTAAAACTAATTAAAGCTATTTTATTTATTTATTTATTTTTGAAAATTAAAATGAAAATGAATAATACCAATATCTATCTCTTACATTTTATTTATTGATAATTTATTATTTATATTAAATATACTTTATAGACTTTTTGTTATGGTAAAATTAATTGGTTCTTGTGAGTATATATATTATTTTTTATACAATTAATTAATTTCAGGCAGATCTATTTATAGATAGATTAAGAGCAAGGAACTAAAAATCGCATTTATTTATTTATTAAATTTAAAATATATTTTTATTTCAAGTGTTAGTTACTATAAAAATAACATTTGAGCTTTTTTCTTAAATGATAATTAAATAAATAACTAAAAAACAAATTTAATTAAATTCAAAAAAAAAAAAATGAGAATCTGTGCCTTTGTTTTAATAGCTCTTGTTGCAATTGCTGCTGCCTAATAAGATACTTATACTGATGATCAAAAAAATTAAGCCTTGGAGTGTATGCAAAGAATTGGAGAACCATGCCAAAGTGGTAACAATGAAGTAAAAGAAGCTTGCCAAGATGAAGTAGACTAACTTGATTAATGCTTTGATTAATGTATTGATGATAATAAAGAAACCACCAATAATATTATTGGATGTGTATAATTGAATTGCAAATCTGAAAATAATAATGCCTAAACTTTCTTTGATTAGAAGACTGCTTGTATGGCCATTTTAGAAGAAAATCCTTCTAGTAAAGATGAAAAGAAAATTGATTTAGACTAGGAGAACATCAATAATACTGAAACTCCATGATAAGCTGGTAGCGAAGAAGAAATAAAAGCTTGCCAAGAAGAATTAAAGAAAATCGAAAACTGTTTAACTTAATGTACTGAACAAAATAAAGAAAACACTCATGAAATTATCAGATGTTATAAATTGAACTGCAAATCCGAAAATAATGATGTCTAAGATTACTTTGAAAAGAAGATTGCTAGTATGAATACTGGAATTAACATTCTTGCTTTTACAGTCATAGCTTCAATTCTCTCTCTATTATTATGAAAAAATTCACATTTTTTAAATTAGTTGTTAGGTGTTTTATAAGTTTTTGTCTTGTGAGATTATGCCTAATATTTTACTAATATTTTTACATAACAAATTTCTGTTGATTGATTGATTTATTTATTTATTCAAATTTAATTAGCTTAATAAATAAATAATTAAAAGAAATAAATTTTTATAGTATTTAAACTGGTATATTTTGCTAGAAAAAAGATTGTGTATTTTGAACAAGTTGTATTTAAAAATATTAAAGATTATTAAAATAAATAGAATTTGATCATAATAATAAAGATTTTTAAATATTATGTTTCAATCAATAATTTCTTTCAAAAATAGTGAGTGAATCAAATACACAGACAGAAATGAAAAATAAATAAATTAAATTCAAATCTGAAAGCCATTTAGTAAAAATAAGCATAATTAATTAAATTATTGAATAAGCAAAAATAATTTCTAAATTCTTTTAGAAAAATTTTTTTAATTTTGAAAAATGAATACAAATTTTAATTAATTTTTTACCTTTAAAAATACCTTTTTTAAAAAAAGAGATTACATTTTTTATATATTTAAAAAAAATAAATATTTTTTGAAAGTGTAACAAATTTTTTATTTTTAATTAAAGAATAAGTGTAACTAACAGTAAAAAGGCAAAAAGCTCTTTGCATTCTTGATTAAACTTACGTAATAAATTTAAATTTTATTTAATTACATCATAATAAATTAGAATAATTCAACTTTTAAAATAAAATGTTTTTAAAATTTAATTTAAAAAAATTATTAAATTATAAAATAAACAATTATTCATAAATTTAAATTAACTTACACTTTATAATATAAAAAAATAAACACCTAAAATAAATTATATAGAGAATAGTTATAATTACCTTTAGAGTTTTAGAATGCTGGAACATAATTCAGTGAGTAGGAAGCTTTAATCAATAATTTATTATAAAAGTCAAATACATTATAAAAGATAAAGTTAGCAACATAAAGAAAAATCAAGACAAAAATGTTCTAGTCATTATTTAAATTAATAGCTTTTAGTTCTAATAAAATCTAATTATTCTTATTCCATCCACGCTTTTACTATTTTTAATTAATTATGTCTACATTAATAATAGCTCTAAAAGTCTATGAAATATGATATCCATAAGAATATAAGCAAAATCTAATTTATTGGTGAAGTTTATGTATTAATAAATTGATTGATAAAGCCATTATTCTTTAAATATGAATAATTTAATTTAAGTTTTTTTTAAATATTTTTTTATGGTTTTCCTATTGAAAAATGTTTGATATCAAAAATTAGTGTTATTACTTAGATTTATTTTATTTATTTATTATTGATGATAGTTACGATAATCCTAGTAAATTATGGCTTGTTTCTTTAGAATAAAATCTTATTGATTAAATCTATTTATTTCTTGATAACAGCTAATAAGTTCTAGTAAAGTCTAATTATAGTATATTTAATGCTTAATTTATTATATATCTAAATGCAAAAATCAATAAAATTAGTACCAAAAATATTAAATTAGTAGCAAAGTCAAATTTATTTATATATTTATCTACTTTAATTGACAATATTGTATTCATTAAAAGGAGCAACATTATTTAAGTAAATTTTTTAATAAATTAATTATGGCTGGTCCATTTAAAAATGTTAGATATTTATTTATTTATTAAATTTAAAACTAATTAAAGCTATTTTATTTATTTATTTATTTTTGGTAATAAAATTAAATAATATCAATTTCTATCTCTTACATTTTATTTATTGATAATTTATTATTTATATTAAATATACTTTATAGACTTTTTGTTATGGTAAAAATAATTGGTTCTTGTGAGTATATATATTATTTTTTATACAATTAATTAATTTCAGGCAGATCTATTTATAGATAGATTAAGAGCAAGGAACTAAAAATCGCATTTATTTATTTATTAAATTTAAAATATATTTTTATTTCAAGTGTTAGTTACTATAAAAATAACATTTGAGCTTTTTTCTTAAATGATAATTAAATAAATAACTAAAAAACAAATTTAATTAAATTCAAAAAAAAAAAAATGAGAATCTGTGCCTTTGTTTTAATAGCTCTTGTTGCAATTGCTGCTGCCTAATAAGATACTTATACTAATGATCAAAGAAATTAAGTTTTGGAGTGTATGCGAAAAATTGGAGAACCATGCCAAAGTGGTAACAATGAAGTAAATGAAGCTTGCCTAGATGAACTAGACTAACTCGATTAATGCTTTAATTAATGTATTGATGAAAATAAAGAAACCACCAATAATATTATTGGATGTGTATAATTGAATTGCAAATCCGAAAATAATAATGCCTAAACTTTCTTTGATTAGAAGACTGCTTGTATGGCCATTTTAGAAGAAAATCCTTCTATTAATGATGAAGAAGAAATCGATTTAGATAACAACGATATAGATATTATTGAAAATCCATGCGAAAGTGATACCGAGGAAGAATTTTAAGCTTGTGATGCAGAATTAGTGATAATCGAAAGATGCTACTATGAATGTATTGATCAATATGAAGAAAACTCTAATGAATTTATCATATGTTATAAATCAAATTGCAAATCTGATAATAAAAAAGCATAAGCTTACTTTGATAAGAAGCTTCCTAATACTAGCACTGATATAGATAATCCTTCTAGTAAAGATGAAAAGAAAATTGATTTAGATTAGGAGAACATCAATAATACTGAAACTCCATGCCAAGCTGGTAGCGAAGATGAAATAAAAGCTTGCCAAGAAGAATTAAACAAACTCGAAAACTGCTTAACTTAATGTACTGAGCAAAATAAAGAAAACACTCTTGAAATTATCAGATGTTATAAATCGAACTGCAAATCCGAAAATAATGATGTCTAAGATTACTTTGAAAAGAAGATTGCAAGTATGAATACTGGAATTAACATTCTTGCTTTTACTGTCATAGCTTCAGTTCTCTCTCTATTATTATGAAAAAATTCACATTTTTTAAATTAGTTGTTAGGTGTTTTATAAGTTTTTGTCTTGTGAGATTATGCCTAATATTTTACTAATATTTTTAAATAACACATTTCTGTTGATTGATTTATTGATTGATTGATTTATTTATTTATTGATTTAAATTTAATTAACTTAATAAATAAATAAATAATTAAAAGAAATAAAATTTTTTTGTATTTAAACTGGTATATTTTGCTTGTAAAAAGATTCTGTATTTTGAACAAGTTGTTTTAAATATATTAAAGATTATTAAAATAAATAGAATTTGATCATAATAATAAAGATTTTTAAATAGTATGTTTTAATCAATAAATTCTTTCAAAAATAGTGAGTGAATCAAATAGGCAGAAATCAAAAATAAATAAAATTAAAATTTGAAAGCCATTTAGTAAAAATATATAATTAATTAAATTATTGTAACTGAATATTTAAAAACCAATCCATGAAAAAAAATCTAATTATAAATAGTAATTACAGTGCTTGCAGGTATTAAATTCATATGAACTTAATAAAGTAACAATTTAATTACTGTATTTGCAATAAATAAAGTAGATTACTTGAATATATTACTTTATTAATTTTTATTATATAATCTTTGTTTTATGATTTTGTAATTTAATTATATAATTTCGGATATTAATTTTATAATAGATTTTTATTTTTTTTGTATAATACTCTTAATTATTTTAAAATAAAATTTAATTATTGAATAAGCAAGTAATTTCTAACACCCCGTTTTCAAAATTTGAAAAATTAAAATGAATTATACCGAATTAACCCTCCTCCCTATACCTCTCCTGTTAAAATTAATAGATAAATTTGATTAAAATAAATATATTTGACCTTTTGATTAAGTTTATTGAAATAGTCAGTAACATAATTAAAAAATCAAGAAAGAAGATATATGTTATAGTCATTATTTAAAATAATAGTGGTTAGTTCTAATAAAATATAATTATGCTTATTCCTTCTATCCAATGCTTTTACTATTTCAATTAATTATGTTTACATTAATAATAGATCTAAAAAGTCTATGAAATATGATATCTAAAAGAATATAAGCAAAATCTAATTTATTGAGGAAGTTTATGTATTAATAAATTCATTGATTAAGCCATTATTCGTTAAATATGTATAATTTAATTTAAGTAAATTTTTTTAATTTATTTATGGTTTTTTTCCAATTTAAAAATATTTGATATTAAATATTAATTTTATTACTTAGATTTATTTTATTTATTTATTATTGATGATATTTACTATAATCCTAGTAAATTATGGCTTGTTTCTTTAGAATAAAATCTAATTTATAATATCAGTTTATGTGTTAATTAAAGCTATTTTTTGATAACAGCTAATAAGTTCTAGTAAAGTCTAATTATAGTATATTTAAAGCTTACTTACTTAGTTAAATCTAAATGCAAAGAATTAAAACCAAAAATATTAAATTAAATACAAAATCAAATTTATTTTTTTATTTATGTGTCTATTTTAATTGAAAATATTGTATTCATTAAAAGGAACAATATTATTTAAGTAAATTTTTTAATAACTTAATTATTGCTGAACTATTTAAAAATGTTAGAATAAACTTTATTTATTTAATTTAAAACTAATTAAAGCTATTTTATTTATTTATTTATTTTTGATAATAGTTATGAAGTAAGTTTTAATGATATTGATTAAACAAATTTAAAAAGAAATCTTTAATAATACCAATATCTATCTATTAAATTTTTTTTATAGATAATTTATTATTTATATTAAATATACTTTATAGACTTTTTGTTTTGGTAATATCAATTTATGTATTGATTAAAGCTATTTTTTGATAACAACTAATAAGTTCTAGCAAAGCCAAATTAAAGTATATTTAAAGTTTACTAACTTAGTTAAATCTAAATGCAACAAAATATAAAATTAAAACCAAAAATATTAAATTAAAAACTAAATAAAATTTATTTATTTATGTATCTATTTTAATTGAAAATATTGTATTCATTAAAAGGAACAATATTATTTAAGTAAATTTTTTAATAACTTAATTATGGCTGAACTATTTAAAAATGCTAGATATAAAATTTATTTATTTAATTTAAAACTAATTAAAGCTATTTTATTTATTTATTTTTGATAATAGTTATGAAGTAAGTTTTAATTATATTGAATAAACAAATTAAAAAAGAAATCTTTAATAATACCAATAACTATCTATTAAATTTTATTTATAGATAATTTATTATTTATATTAAATATACTTTATAGACTTTTTGTTTTGGTAATATCAATTTATGTATTGATTAAAGCTATTTTTTGATAACAACTAATAAGTTCTAGCAAAGCCTAATTAAAGTATATTTAAAGCTTACTAACTTAGTTAAATCTAAATGCAACAAAATATAAAATTAAAACCAAAAATATTAAATTAAAAATAAAATCAAATTTGTATATTTATTTATTATTTAAAAATGTTATATATAAACTTTATTCTAAATTTAAAACTAATTAAAGCTATTTTATTTATTTTTTTATTTATTTTTGATAATAGTTATGAAGTAGGTTTTAATGATATTGAATAAACAAATTAAAAAAAAAAAATCTTTGATAATACCAATATCTATCTATTAAATTTTATTTATAGACTTTTTGTTTTGGTAAAAATAACTTGGTTCTTGTGAGTATATTAATTATAATGCATATCTATTTATAGATTGATTAAATGCAAGGAACTAAAAACACATTTATTTATTAAATTTCAAATATATTTCTATTTCAAGTATTACTATAAAAATAGCATTTGAGCTTTTTTCTTAAAAGATAATTAAATAAATAAATAACTAAAAAAAACAATTTAATTAAATTCAAAAAAAAAATGAGATTCTGTGCCTTTGCTTTATTAGCTCTTGTTGTAATTGCTGCTGCCTAATAAGATACTTCTACTAATGATAATAGAGAAAATTAATATAGTCAATCTAATTATGATGAAGAGGAATTTGATTTGTATTTGAAGGAATATAATTCTATATGCGAAAATCTTAGTGGCTAAAAATTTACTGATTGTGAAAAATAATTAGAATATATCTCATAATGCTACTATTACTGTGTAGGAAACGAAATTGATTTTAATATGTGTTATAAAAATGATTGCTAAACCGAAAATGAAAAGATATAAGCTTTCTTTGATAAGTAGCTTCTTACATTTAACACTGAAATAAATATGAAGGAATAAGAATCTATATGCGGCAAACTTAGTGGCTAATAATTTACTGATTGCGAAAAAGAATTGAAATTAATCACATAATGCTACTAATAATGTAAATAATCTAATGAATAAAAGGATAATGAATTTATCATGTGTTATAAATCCGATTGCTAATCCGAAAATTAATAGATAAAAGCTTACTTTGATAAGTTGCTTCCTAATACTAGCACTGGAATAGATACTCCTTCCACTAGTAAAGATGAAAAGAAAATTGATTTAGACTAGGAGAACATCAATAATACTGAAACTCCATGCCAAGCTGGTAGCGAAGAAGCAATAAAAGCTTGTCAAGAAGAATTAAACAAACTCGAAAACTGCTTAACTTAATGTACTGAGCAAAATAAAGAAAACACTTATGAAGTTATCAGATGCTATAAATCGAACTGCAAATCCGAAAATAATGATGTCTAAGATTACTTTGAAAAGAAGATTGCTAGTATGAACACTGGAATTAGCATTCTTGCTTTTACTGTCATAGTTTCAGTTCTCTCTTTATTATTATGAGAAAATTCACATTTTTTAAATTAGTTGTTATGTGTTTTATAAGTTTTTGTCTTGTGAGATTATATCTAAAATTTAGCCAATATTTTTACATAACAAATTTCTGTTGATTTATTTATTTATTTATTTATTTATTTATTTAAATTTAATTAACTTAAAAAATAATTAAAAGAATTAAAATATAATTTTATAAATCAAATTTTAAGTATAGCTGTTCCTGGTTTTAAAATTCAGCTGATTGGATATCACCAATACTCGTACAAAAAAAATTTTTTGAGCTGGTTTAATTAAGGAGGATTTACACTACTAAATAGAGATAATTATTTTTTTAACTATTACTATTAAGATTTAATAATGAGCTTTATTCATGCTAGCATTTTTGTCGTATTTCTTCCTAGAAGGAAATTTTATAAATTATTATTTATCAAAATTAAAATTTTTAATTATTTTTATCCATATAATTTCAAGATAAAACAAAATTAATTTTTTAGTTTATTTATTTATAAATAATTAATTAATTAAATTCCATAAATCATTAATTAATTGCTATTCAAATTTTAGTAAAAATAAATAAATGGTTTAATAGAAAAAATATTACAAAAAACTAAAAGATGTAATTATTAATTTTTTAATAGAAATTATTTAAATTTAAATTTATTTTATTTATAAAAAAAAGTTTTTAAACTCTGATCTTTAATCTCATTCAGTTATAGAAATCAATCTCTCGTATATTTAATCTATTAATATTATTACAAATACTTTTTTTTATTTATGTTTCAAGTTATTTATCATTTTATATAATATAATATTGTTTGTTTTTCTAGTTTCTAATCTCATCTATATTATTTCATTTTTAATTTATTTTTAATTATTAATTTATTTCTTTTTATATCATATTTTCTTAATTTTTCTTTTTGAATAATTATAATAATATCTTTCAATATTTAAAAAGATCAAGTTATCTATTAGGTGAGGATATATCAGGTTTAGGTTCTGCTTTAGTATAGTGCAATAATCTCTCAAATTTGGTACTGTTTCTTTAGTAATAATAGTTTATATGCTTTAGATTTTGATATTTTTTAATTTAAAAATGAATTTAAAACAATTTATTTTTTTATAATTTAACTTTTTTTTTGATTTACTTTTTTTAAATTTTGTTTGTTTGTTTGTATATTTTTTATTTTATTTTTTCAATTTAATTCATTCATTTTTTCATTTTAGACTTTTACTTTGATTTTAAAAATTTCTTATTATCATATTTTTTCTTCATTTTTCCTTATAAATAACTAACTAACTAATTAAATAAATAAATAAATACATTCTCTTCAATATAAAAAGTGAATATTAAATTTGTGTAGAATGTATGTCAGACTTAGGTTCTGCTTTAGAAAAGTGCACTTATCTCTCAAATTTGTCACTAAATTTTTTGTAAAATCAGTTTATTTATTTTGGATTTTATATTTTTTTATTTTATTTATTAGCTTTTTATTTTATTTACATTTCTTTTTATACTGCTTATATGTTTTTTCTTTATTAATTTAACTAATTTGTATTTTCATTTTTAACTTTTAGTTTGATTATTAACCATTATTTATTATCTTATTTTTTTTTTTCATTTTTTTCTTTTATATAATTAATTATTTGCTATATTTTCTTCAATCTTTAAAAAGTGGAAATTAACTTGGTAATGAAGTTGCAACAGCCTTAGTTTCTACTTTAGCAAAGTGCACTAATCTCTCGGATTTGGCAATTAACTTTCGGTAAAAATAGATTATTTTTTATATTTTTATTTTTTTTAACTTAAAAATGAATTTAAAATAATAAAACTGTATTAATTAATTTATTTATTTCTTTTTTTATTAGATTTAACTATCTTTTATAATTTTTTAATTCTTTTTTTTCTTTCTAATTCAATATTTATTTATTTTCTCTTTTGCTTTGATTTTTAATTTACTCATTTCTCATTATTTCATCATTTTTCTTCATTTTTCCCCTTCTAAATAAATAATTATTTATATACATTTTCTTCTATTTTTTAAAAGTTACAATTCAACTGAATTTGAAGGTACACCAGCCTTAGGTTCTGGTTTAGGATAGTGCACTAATCTCTCTTGTTTTATCCTCCATCTACAGTAAAAACTGTTTATTCGATTAGATTTTGATATTTTTTATTTTTTAAGGAATTTAAAAACAATAAAACAGTTTTAATTTATTTTACTGTTTAAAAGTATGTTTTTATTTGACTTATTAACTTACTTTTTTATTCTGCTCTATTATCTCTGAAATTTTTTATTGATTTTTTATTTGAACTAACTTTTAAAGTTTTATATTTTCTCCAATATTTAAAAAGAGGTGGTCAAATTGGTCTTGAAGGTGCATCAGGCTTAGGTTTTGGCATAGCAAAATGCACTAATCTGTAAAAATTGTCACTCCATCTTAGGTAAAAAAAGTTTTTAGTTTGTTTTGGATTTTAATATTTTTTAATATAAAAATGAATATTTAATTCAGTCAATATTTATCTTTTAATTTATTAGCTTTTTATTTGATTTAATTTTCTTTTTTATTCTGCTTGTTTTGCTCTTTTTATTAGTTAGTAAATCCATTTTTTATTAAAATTTTTTTTCTTCATATTTAAAAAGCGAAAATAGAATTTGTGATGAAGGTTTATAATGTTTAGCTTCTGCTTTAGAAAAGTGCGCTAATCTCTCAAATTTGGCACTTGAGCTTTGGTAAAAGCAGTTTTATTTTATTTTAGATTTAAACATTTTTTAATTTATTTTGGATTTTTTTGATATTTTTTAAAATAAAAATGAGTTAGTTTAAAATAATAAAACTCATTCAATTTCTTTAATTTTTATTTTATTTACTTTTATTTTTTATTCTGCTTGTGTGTTTTTTTTTACTTTCTTAATTTAACTAATTATGTTTTTCACTTTTAGCTTTTACTTTGATTTTTAATTAAATTTTATCTCATTTTTTTTCTACATTTTTTCCTTTAAATACTTATTTTTTAATTATATATTTTTTATTTTATATTTAAAAAGCGATAATTAAATTTCTGTTGAAGGTGTATCAAGTTTAGCTTCTTCTTTAGAAAAGTGTACTAATCTCTCAAATTTATCGCTTGATTTTAGGTAAAAACAGTTTGTTTGTTTAATATAAATTACCCTTTTAATTAATTAATTAATTAATTTATTTGTTAACTTTTATTTTTCTTTTATATTCTACTTACTTGTATATATATTTTTTCCTTTCTTAATTTAACTCATTCCTTTTTTCATTTAAAATTTTAATTTGATAATCAATTAATTTATTTCTTGTAATCACATGGTATTTCTTAATTATCTCCTTCTATCTAATAATTAATTTTAACTTTATTTATATTTTTCTTAAATATTGAAAAAGTAAAAATAAAATTGGTGATGAAGGTGTAAAAAGCTTAAGCTCTGAATTATCGAAGCGTACTAATATCTTAAATTTGAAACTTTATCTTTTGTAAAAACAGTTTATTTGTTTTAGACTTTGATATTTTTAATATAAAAATAAAATTCTTAATTAGTTTTTATTTGATTTACTTTTCATTTTTATTCATCTTGCATTCTTTTTCTTTCTTAATTTAACTAATTAGTTTTTTCACTTTAGCTTTTACTTTGTTGATTCTTACTTAATTTTTATCATACTATCTAAATTTTTTTTTTCATTTTTTTTCTAAATAACTATATTATTACTTATTTTTTCGTCAATATTTTATTAGAACAAATTAAATTATTAAGCTCTGCTTTATCAAAGTGTACTAATCTCTTAAATTTAAAACTTGCATTTGAGTAAAATATTTTATTTATTTAGGATGTTGATATTTTAATATAAAAATCAATATAAAACAATATAAATTTTTTATTTATTATTTATTATCTTTTTATTTATTCATTCATTCTTGCTAGCTGTGTTATTTTTATTTACTAATTTAATATATTCATTAAAAATATAATTTTATTCTATTAAATTTGATTAGTAATTTACAATAATTATATTTAAAGTTGTAACGAAATCAGTGAATTAGTAGAATAGAAATTAAATAACAAGTGTCTTAAATTAAAAAGATTAGTTTTCTTTGAAAATTATTCCATACTAAAGAAGCTCACGAGATGTTTAAATGAAGAATGACTAAATAAATATAAAACTATTTGACTAACAGAATTTAATATGTTTTATTTTATATAGTTTTGTAATAGAATAATTTAATCTAAAATATAAACAGATAGATAGATAGATAGATAGAATTATATTTATTTTTATTAATAAATTCATAATTTTGATAAGTTAAAAATTTCTTTATGAAATAAATAAATTTCAAATTGAATTTCCTTAAATAAAGCTTATTTCTTTCAGAAGTCACCAAAAAAAAAAGTAAAGACCAAAGTTTTAATAATTTTGTTTATCTATCTTACTAAATTATAGAAATATAAAACTTTTATGTCATACATATTAATTAATTTTTTTATATAATATAAAAATTATTTTATATATTATTAATATTTAGATTTTATAAATTAATTAATTTCCTTTAATAAGTAATTTAAAATTAATAATAATTTTATATTCTACAAATTTTTAAGATTTAATAATTAAAATTAATTATGTCTATAATTTAGACTACTGCATTAAAAGATAAAAAAATCATTAACTCAAAAATAAATTGAACCAGAATCATAATTAGCCAACAACAACTTGATATATGAAATGCAGTTAGTTTTCTGTTTGTTAAGGTTTGACCAAAATTACTCAAAAATTTAGCATAATTTAGGTGACTATGCAAGCATTTTAAAATGACTACAATAGTTTTGTTATTAATATTAATAAATAAAAAATTAGTATAATAAAGAGTATCGCTAATCCTGGTATTGAAAAATTGAATAATAAATAGTCTTCATTTTATTTTTATCTATCAGAATTTATCTGATTCATTTATCTATCTGTGATTTTATTAAAAATAAATAAATGTTTTTCATCACCATCTATCTGTACATACCTACACAATTCGTGATATTTGAATTGCGGGATTAGCAATATATTATAATTTTTTGTTATTTTATCCATATAGTTTCAAAATAAAACTAAATTTAATTAATTTTTTAGTATATTTTAAATTAATTAATAAAATTCCATAAATCATAAATTGCTATTCAAATTTTAGTAAAAATAAATAAATGAAATAATAGAAAAATTATTTTAAAAGTCTAAAAGATGTAAATATTTATTTTTTTAAAGAAGTTATTTGAATTTATTTTATTAATAAAAAAAGTTTTTAAACTCTGATCTTTAATCTAATTCAGTTATAGAAATTGATCTCTAGTATATTTAATTTATTAATATTAATTATTACAAATACTTTTTTATTTAATTTTCAAGTTTATTAATTATAATATAATATTATTTTCTAATAGACAATCTCATCTATATTAGCTCATTATCAATTAAAAATTTTTTTTTAAAATTATTTTAATTTACTTTTAATTTTTAATTATGAATTTATTTCTTTTTATATCATATATTTTCTTCCTTTTTCCTTTTAAATAAATAAAAAATTAATTAATTATAATAATTTTCTTCAATATTTAAAAAGATAAAATTTACTTGCTGATGAAGACATATCAGGCTTAGGTTCTGCTTTAGCATAATGCAATAATCTCTCAAATTTGATACTATATCTATAGTAAGAATAGTTTGTTTGTTTTGGATTTTGATATTTTTTAATATAAAAATTAATTTAAAACAGTTTATTTTTTATTAACTTTTTATTTGATTTATTTTTTTTTACTTTTTAAATTTAACTCATCCGTTTTTTCATTTTAAACTTTTGCTTTGATTTTAAATAAATTAATTTATTATTATCTCATATTTTTCTTCATTTTTCCTTATAAATTACTAATAAATAAATACATTTTCTTCAATATAAAAAAGCAACAATTAAATTAGTGTTGAAAGTATATCAGACTTAGGTTCTGCATTAGTAAAGTGCACTAATCTCTCAAATTTAACAATATATCTTTAGTAAAAACAGTTTATTTGTTTTGGTTAATATATTTTTTAATTTAATTGTTTATTAGCTTTTTATTTTGATTTACATTTTTTTTTATTTTGCTAACCTGTTTTTTTCTTTATTATTTCAACTCATTCATTTTTTATTTATTTTAAACTTTTTATTTGATTATTAATTATTATCTAATACTTCTTCATTATTTTCCTTTAAATAATTAACTATTTAAAAAAATTTTTCAATCTTTAAAAAGTGGAAATTAATTTGGTGATAAAGTTGCAACAGTCTTAGTTTCTGCTTTAGCAAAGTGCATTAATCTCTCCAATTTGACACTTAGTCTTGAGTAAAAACAGTTTATTTTTTTTGGATTTTGATATTTTTTAACTTAAAAATGAATTCAAAATAATAAAACTTGATTTATCTTTCTTTTTTAAATTTGTTCGTGAGATTTTTTTATATTTCTAATTCATTTTTTTAATTTATTTTTTGATTTGATTATTAATTAACTCGTTTCTGATTATTTCAAATTGTTTATTTATTTATTTTTCCTTTCTAAATAACTAATTATTATTATAAATTTTCTTCAATTTTTAAAAAGTTGCAATTAAATTGGAGATGAAGGTTCATCAATCATAGGTTCTGGTTTAGGTTAGTGCACTAATCTCTCATATTTGGTACTTTATCTTAAGTAAAAACAGTTTATTCCTATAAATTTTGATATTTTTTAGTTTTATAAAGAATTTAAAAACAATAAAACAGTTTTAATTAAATTATATAATAGTTTTTTATTTGATTTATTTAACTTTTTATTCTTCTCTTATTATCTCATATTATTTGTTTATTTTATTCAAACTAAATTTTAAATTTTTATATTTTTTCAATATTTAAAAAGTGAAAATTAAATTGGTGATGAAGGTATATCAGGCTTAGGTTCTGGTTTAGCAAAATGCACTTATTTATCAAATTTATCTCTCTATTTTTGGTATAATTTTTTTGTTTAGGATTTTGATATTTTTAATATAAAAATGATTATTTAAATAAATAAATAATTATTAATTTTTTATTTGACTTACTTTTCTTTTTTATTTTGTTTGTTTTACATTTATTATTAATTAATTAATTCATTTCTTATTATTTTTTTTTATTTCTTCATTTTTTCCTTCTTATTAATTTTTTTTCTTCTATATTTAAAAAGTGGAAATTAAATTTGTGATAAAGGTTTATAAGGTTTATGTTCTGCTTTAGAAAAGTGCTCTAATCTCTCAAATTTGACACTTGATCTTGAGTAAAAAAAGTTTATTTTATTATTTTTTTTGATATTTTTTAATTCAAAATTAAATAAATTTTATTTATTATTATATATATATGTATGTATATCTTGGTTTACATTTCTTTTTTTTTCCTGCAGAGCTTTTCTTTTTCTTAATTTATCACATTTATTATTTTTATTATAATTTTTAGATTTGATTATTAATTAATTAATTCATTTCTTACAACCTCATTATTTATCTTCATTTATTCCTTCCAAATAATTATTAAATTAATTATATATTTTTTAATCAATATTAAGTGAAAATCAAATTAGTGGTGAAGGTGCATCATTCTTAAGTTCTGCTTTATCAAAGTGTACTAATCTCTAAAATTTGACACTTGATTTTGGGTAAAAACAGTTTATTTGTTTTGGATTTGATATTTGCAATTTATTTTATTTTATTTGATTTACTTTTCTTTTTTATTCTTTTTCTATTTATATCTTAATTTTACTTATTTTTTTAAATATCATATGCTTTATTGATTAATTAATTTATTTATTTATTAATTATTTCATATATTTTTTTCATTTTTTTTCTTTTAACTAATTCGCTAAATATTTTTTCTTCAATATTTATAAAGTGGAGATTAAATTGGTATTTAAGGTTTATCATACTTAGGTTCTGCTTTAGCATAGTGCACTAATCTATCAAATTTGAAATTTTATCTTCAGTAAAAACAAACAGTTTATTTGTTTTGGATTTTTATTAATTATATATTTTTTCTTCTATATTGAAAAAGCGACAATTAAATTTGTGAAGACGGTCTATCAAGTTTATATTTTGCTTTAGAAAAGTGCACTAAACTCTCATATTTAGTACTTGATTTTAGGTAAAAGCAGTTTATTTGCTTTGGGTTTTGATATTTTATAATATTAATTTAAAATTTTTTATTGATTTAATTATTAGCTTTTTATTTTATTTATTTTTCATTTTTTATTCTCTTTGTATTTTTATTTTCTTTATTAGAAAAACTAACTAACTAACACATTTATTTTATAGTTTTAAACTTTTGCTTTGATTAATATTTAATTAATTCATATTTTATAATCTGATATTTTTCCTACTAAATAATTAGCTAATTAATTATATTTTATATTTTATTTAACTTTTAAAAAGTTTCAATGATATTGATGATAAATGCGCATCAGAGTTAGGATCTGCTTTAGCAAAATGCACTAATCTTTCAAATTTGATACTTATGCTTAAGTAAAAACAATATAATTAACTCTTTTAATTAATTTATTTATCTATTAATTAGCTTTATATTTTTCTTTTATACTCTGCTTGTTTGTTTTTTTTTCCTTTCTTAATTTAAATGATTCCATTTTTCATTTCAAATTTAGATTTAATTATTAATTAACTTATTTCTTATAATATCATACTATTTCTTGATTTTTCCTTCAAACAAACAAATTAATTAACTTTATATTCTTGCTTCAATATTTAAAAAGTGAAAATTAAATTGGCGATGATGGTGCATAAAGTTTAAGTTCTGAATTATCGAAGTGCACTAATATCTTAAATTTGACACTTTATCTTAGGTAAAAACAGTTTAATTGTTTTAGATTTGATAATTTTTAATATAAAAATAAAACTCTTTTAATTTATTTTTTCATTTGTTTTTATTTGATTTACTTTTCATTTTTTTAATCTTGTTTTTTTTTTCTTTCTCAATTTAAATAATTTCATTTTCAACTTTACTTTGATTGTTAGTTAGTTAATTCATTTATTTCTTATTATCTAAGTTTTTTTTTCATTTTTTTCTTTTAATTAACTAATTAATTATTTATATTTTCATCAACATTTAAAAAGTCAAAATTAAATTACAGATGGTGGTGTATCAGTCTTAGGTTCTGCTTTAGCAAAGTGCAATAATCTCTTAAATTTGACAATTCAACTTGAGTAAAAACAGTTTATTAGTTTTTGACTTTGATTTTTTAAAATTAAAATGTATTTAAAACAATAAAAGTTTTTAATTCATTTATTTATTATCTTTTTATTTTAATTATTTATTTATTGTTAAATATAAAATTTTATTCTATTAACTTTGATTAGTAATTTACAATAATTATATTTAAAGGTAAAATTATATCAGTGAATCAGTAGAATAGAAAATAAAGAACAAGTGCCTAAAATCAAAAAGATTAGTTCTTTTTAAAAATTAATCCTTACTAAATATTTTGAATTAATAATGAAAAATAGGATGAATAAATATAAAACTATTTGAATAATAGAATTTCATATGTTTTATTTTATATAGTTTTGTAAAAAAATAATTAAACCTAAAACATAAATAGATAGATATAGCTAAATGCCATTCAAAAATTTAGTGAATTGAGATCACTATTTTTTGAATAGCTAATGCATTTGAACATTATTTATATAAAAATAAATAAATAATTTTATAATAGAATTTCATTAATAATATTTATAATTTTAATTTATATCAATCTTTATGATTTTTCTATTAATTTTTTAATTTTAGCCTTTTATTAAAATTTTTCTTCAAAAAAATTTAATTTAAAATTCCCTAAGCATTTAATAGGTGGGCTTGTAAAAATGTAAGGAATTTAAGAATAATTTATTTAAAAATAAACTTTTTAATGAAACTTCAAAGAAAATGAAAAGTATTTAGCTTTTATCAAGCTCTATTTATTATTTAGCTACCTTTGGTTGTTTTTGTAAAAAGACAATGAGGTGTTTTATCTAATATATGTTACTTATTGTATCTATTTAAGCAATTACATATTTATAAGAGAATAGGGTCTTTTAATAATCTCTAATTTAGTAAGTTGTCTTGAAAATGTTAATATTTGTTTATAGTCTTACAATTTATTGTTTTTTACTACAAAATTTGCAAAAAGTTTTATATCTAAGCTTCATTTATTAAGTTACCTATGTTTTAAATTATATGTTATTTTTGCTTCTTTAGAATTATTGTGCCATTTATTTATTCATATTTTTACTATTATGAAGGCATTCATAGATATTAAAGGTTAATACCATCCAGTTTAAAATAGGAAACTGATTTTATGGTCAATTACTTCAGTGATGGCTAACAATTTAAATTCTAAGTTTTTTTACTTCTATGTATTACTAAAGCTATGAATTGTTATTTTGTTTTCTTTCTTGCTTTATTTTACTCACATTAGTCTGCTAATTCTATTCATGATGTTATTTCGCATAATTTCGTAATTGAGATGACGTCAAGTTGGGATGTTAAAATCTTATTTATAAAATGATCTAATATTTAATGCGTATTATTACGATTTTTATGAAAGAAAATTTTGATTTATCAAATATTCTTTTTACACGTAATTTAATTAATTTAAATCAGATTTTAACAAAAAATAAATATTTAAAAACTTAACAAATTTTGTTTATAGTCATATAATTAATTAATTCAATTTAATTTGTTAGAAAAAAAAAATATTGAAATATTAAAAAATGGATTTTATCAGCTAAAATCTTGTAGGATCCTAAGAAGCTAAATACAAGCTTGCTTTGCATCTTCAAAACAGGAAAAAAGTCAAAGAGATGTACAGAATGAAAGGTGTCTAAATGCTCGATAAGCCTGAGTTAGTCAGTAAAAAATATTTAAATTAATATTCATTTTTTATGAATAGATTTATAATTATCAATATTTAACTATTAAAACTTGCATCTAGATATTATTAAAACATAAACGTTTAATCTGTAAAAATAAAACCAAACCATTCACTTAATAAATTACCTTGTCTTAGCTCTAATCAAACTTTATTTTAATTTTAACAAAAGTTTCTGATATCTAAGAACCTAATATAAAGCCTTAATAAGCTTTAATTTATTAGACTATGAAAAGCGAATTAATAAAAAAGGGCTACTCTGATTTTAGATTTTTAGGATAGGGAGTATAGGGACTTGTCTTGTTAGCTAAAGATTCTAAAAATAATATTAGGTATGCTATCAAAGGTGTTTAAATTAGAGATCCTAACGGAAATCTTGACAAAGATCTTAGCGATAGAGTTAGTTAAGAAGTAGAAATACTTAAAAAATGTAGAGAATCTCCTTACGTAGTGAGTCTTTTAGATTAATTTGAAGGATAACAATTTAGTTACTTAGTTCTAACTGAGTGTTAAGGTACAAATCATACTAATTTATTTTTAAAATTAATAAATAAATAAAAAAATCAAACCCCTTAATTGAAAGTTTTTAATGCAAAATTAAATTCTATAAATAAAAAGGAACTCTTACCTAAATTTTAGAAAGAAACTAAAACAAAAGACTAAATGAAATATCAGCAATAAAATATGCTAATGATATTGCTCAAGGTCTCTACTACATTCACTCTAAGAGCTGCCTTGTTAATGATCTCAAAATGGATAATATCTTAATTGACTATCATGGAAATGCAGTTGTTTGTAAATTTTTAACAAATCTAAACAAGCTTGATCGATTTGATTTTCTATAAAATATATTAATTAATTAAATAGCTGATTTTGGTTTGGCAGATAACCTAATAAATAAATCTGGTTATGCTTTCAATCAATATGTATGCACTCATATTTTTATAATACTTAAGTGATATTAAAAAAATTAAAGATGGGAAACTTCTTGTATCAAGCACCAGAGTGTTTTGACCCATCTGATCCATTCATAGGTAAGGTTTATCATGATGAATATTTAAAATTAGGCGTCACTGTGAGACAAGAGCCAAGCAACAGAGTAAAAATTTTATTTAAATTCTTTCTCAATAGGATAGTTGATATTATTCTTATTTATTAATTTAAACAGAGTGAAGCATGTTCTTTAGGTATTATTATATTAAATAAAAAATATATTACTTGTTTTTATTTAACAAAAATTACTAAAAAGGATATCTAATATATACTTTTGTCTAGGGTTTAGATTTGAAATTAGCATCAAATAAGCACAAAGAATTAAATTATGATGATGAATTTAAAAATTTTGTTTATCACAAATAGCTTAAATATATTATAGAAGGATTAACTAATTTTGTTCCAAAGAATAGAATGCCTATTAAAGAGGCTTTAATTATTTTAAAGGGAATTATTTCTTTTGAATTTTAGTTAGATGAAATGCTTATTGAGATGATAGATGGAAACACTCAGCAGTTCACAAGTTCGCTCAAAAATGAAATTGAGTTTATTTAAGATTTGTCAAATAAGTTTTACCCAATCATGTATATTTTTGTATTCTAATCTACCACTTTTGTTAAACTTTTTAAAGTAAAAACGAACAGACCTTAAACTAAGAGTTAAAAGAAGACGATCAAAAAAGATAATATGTTAATTAACATATTTTGTTCAAAATATCCTCAATTTATTCAAAATAATTTGTAAAAAAGGAGGCAAAAATAGAAGAATTATAGAAAACAAATTTCTAACTATAATAAAGAATTAATGAATAAGAATAAACAATTCAAGATTTATTCTCCAAATTAGAATAACCTTAGAATTAGATAATGAATCAACCTTAGATTATGATGATACCAGCAATGAAAATGAATGACTAGTCACATGTTATTTTTTAAGAAATAAAAAATTAGGAAAAGAAAGATGAATTACCAAAAGAAAAAATCTAACTGTAAATTAATTTAATAGAAATTAATAAAAATATTATGAAAAAAAATTTAGCACACAAAAAAGGATGTAATTTTATTCACTCATTGAACATATTCAAAATTTGTTTATTTAAAAGGAAGTAAATAACTTTGAAAATCGTGATCATAAATTAATAATCTTATTCATTTAGAGGGTTATATTTTTATCTATAACTATTACTTAATTAATATATTTTTCTAATATAGATTGTAATCACTAGTCCTTTCCATAAAAAATACTAAATTTACTTATATATTCAAATAGCATGTAAAGTTTTTATCACAAAATGCTCAAATTAACTTTCATATACAAAATAGCATGTAATTAATATTTTAGAATGATTTTATATGAGAAAATAAATGCTGAATTAACTTTCATATTTAAATTAGATAGTAATTAATTTTTAGAATGATTTTGATGAGAAAATAAATGCTGAATTAACTAACTTTCATATTCAAAATAGCCAGTGATTAATATTTTAGAATGATTTTTGATGAGAAAATAAATGCTGAATTAACTTTTATATTCAAAATAGTGGGTAATTAATATTTTAGAATTATTTTTGATAAGAAAACAAATGCTGAATTAACTAACTTTCATCATCAAAATAGCTAGTAATTAATTAATATTTTAAAATAATTTTTTTAATTATATACAAGATATCTGCATAATTTTAAGATATTTTATATTGAGCCATTGTTGTATCTAATATTCTAGAATATTCTTTATTGGAAATTTTTATATTTTAAATATTCTCGATTAAAAAATTAAAAAATATTGTAAATATTGTAATAAAATAGATATTTTAAAATTAAAATAAAAATTCTAAGATTTTAGTTAGATTCATTCTGATAAAAAATATAGAAAAAAGAATCTAGGATAATATAATATTTTTAAATTCTCAATAAATAAATTTTAATAAATTAATAATTATTTTGAAGTCATATTTAATCTACTTATGATTTTATTAACTTCTAATTTAAGGAATAATATTTAAAGATAAAATAGCTATCACAACCAACAAAATATTTAAAAAATAAAAGTAATTTCAATTAAATATTAAGATTTCTTAGTAATATTTACTCTAATTAATCATATTTTAATATTGTGCCTATTTCTTGTATATAATATTATCTTTAACCATAAAATAAATGCCAAATTTAACTTTCATTTACAAAATAGCTAGTAATTAATATTTTAGAATGATTTTTGATGAGAAAATAAATGCTGAATTAACTTCCATATTCAAAATAGGATGTAATTAATATTTTACAAAGATTTTTGATAAGAAAATAAATGCTGAATTAACTAACTTTCATATTCAAAATAGAGAGTAATTAATATTTTAAAATTTTGAATGAGAAAAAAATAAATGCAAAATTAACTTTAATATTTAAAATAGCGTGTAAAATATACATATATTTAAAAGAGGTGAATAAGTTATATTATTGAAAAATAGACAGTAATAAATATATTAAAGAATAATTTATAAATAATTAATTAATTATCTAAATAACCAATTAGGAAGTAATGTTATTTGATTTATTTTTTTTAGAAAATGCTGATTTAAATTACTTAGTATTAACAAGAGGAGGTAATAATTTTAGTTAAATAGATAATAGTTAATAAGTTATATAAAATTTTGAAAAGGATGTAATATAATATTTGTGATTTAGAAGTATCAGATATTGAAAATGAGTTTATTGTATGAATAGTGGGTATGAATTTATTTATAATATTTTTAAATTTTAAATATTGTATCATTAATATTTAAAAATAGATAGTAATCTTTTGATATTAAAACATCTAATTAATATATCAATAATGGTTTTAAATAGAATGTAAATAGTGTCTATGATTAAAAATAATCAAAAAAAATTAAAATTAAAAAAAGCAAGTAAAATTTAGACATTAATTAAAATAAATATGATGAATTGTATTAAATAATTAAAACAGATGGTATATTTTGAATAATTTCATTGAAAGAAGCAAAATAAATTATTTTTAAAAAGCGAAGATTGGTAAATAATTTTAAATAAATTTTTGAGAAATAAAAAATAATTTGAACATTATAATTATAAATAGGGAGTATTGAAATTGAAGATTTATTCAGAAATTTAAAAATTAAATTTGATAATTAAAATAGCATGTAATATTTTAAAGTGCATTTAAAAATTATTCAAACATAAATTAAAATTATAATATAAATAGAAAAAATGGGTAAAATATTAAGATAAAGAAACGTATAGCTATAAAAAATTGAATAAAACATTAATTAGGTAAATAATTAATTAATTTAATTATATTAGAAAAGACAAACTCATATTAAATAAACTGTTAATTAATAGGATGATGTATTACTTTCAGATTTATTTTATCAAATAATAAATAGTTAATTAATTTTACTTTTGAAACAGATTGTAATATTTATATTACTTTCTTATTGACATATATTCATTCATTAATTACTTCAACCAAATAGCTAGTAAATCTTTTATTATTTTCTATTAATATTTATCTATTTATTTATTTTTTAATAGTGAGTAAAATTTTTGAATGACTTTAAATAAGAAGAAAACGAAAAATTATAAATAGGGAGTAAAGCTTTTATGTTAAATGCCACTCTAAAATAAATACAAAATTATTTTTTTTTTTCTATTATAGAGAGTATAATCTTTGAATAATATTTTATCAGAATATTTTAAAATATCTTCAAATTTAAATAAGGGATTCGTAATTTTTAATTTTAGTATTTTGAAATATTCAAATAAAATGACTTAAATAGGAAGAAGTAAAGATCAATCTAGTTAAAATCTTGGCTTGATATTATATTTGCTTTTATTAAAATAAATAATAGACTGTAATTTTTTAATAACATTTCATAATCTTAGCTAGATCGATGAAATAATAAATTAAAATTAATAAAATAGAATGTAATAATTTAATTCAATTCTAATTCAAAAATACAAATTAAAACTTAAAATAGTGGGTAATTTTTTTACTAGATATTATCAAGAGATATTTATTTTTTTATTTTCCTTTTTTATTTAAAAAAGCAAGTAAAAAACAAGCAAACAATCATTTGTTGTTCTAAATTTAGAAACTACAAATTAACTTTTAAATATAAACAGAGCGTAACTTTCTTTATAAAATTTATTCTAACTATCTCAATATTTTTATTATACAAAACAGCTAGTAATATTTCTTACTTTATTTATTAGAATATTAAATATATTTCATATTTCTAATAGCCTGTAAACTTTTATATTTGTTTCTTAAAAGATTAAACATATTTTACTTTATTATATCAATAAGCGGGTAATTTTATCATCTTATACTAGGTCTTCTTCGAATTTTTTACATCTTTAATAGCAAGTAATTTTTTAAAATTTTTATAATAATTAGATTTTCAATTAATTTTTAAATTGAAAATAGGGAGTAATTAATAGTTTAGAATGATTTTTGATGAGAAAATGAATACTAAAATTAATTTTCATATTCAAAATAGGATGTAATTAATATTTTAGAACGATTTTTGATGAGAAAATAATGTTGAATTAACTTTCATTATAAAAATAGCAAGTAATTTATATTTTAGAATGATTTTTGATGAGAAAATAAATACTGAATTAACTAACTTTCTTATTCAAAATAGCAAGTAATTAATATTTTAGAATAATTTTTGATGAGAAAATAATGCTGATTTAACTTTCAAATTCAAAATAGTCTGTAATTAATATTTTAAAATGATTTTTGATGAGAAATAAATGCTGAATTAACTAACTTTCATATTCAAAATAGGGAGTAATTAATATTTTAGAAGGATATTTGATGAGAAAATAAATGTGTTGAATTAACTTCCATTTTCAAAATAGGATGTAATTACTATTTTTGAATTATTTTTAATTAGAAAATAAATGCTGAATTAACTAACTTTCATATTATAATTAGGCTGTAATTCATATTTTAGAAAAATTTTTGATAAGAAAATAAATGCTGAATTAACTTACATTTTCAAAATAGCTAGTAATTAATTAATATTTTAGAATGATTTTTGATGAGAAAATAAATGCTGAATTAACTTTCATTAACAAAATAGGCTGTAATTAATATTTTAGAATGATTTTTGATGAGAAAATAAATGCTGAATTAACTAACTTTCCTATTCAAAATAGCTCGTAATTAATATTTTAGAATGATTTTTGATGAGAAAATAAATGCTGAATTAACTTTCATAATCAAAATAGCTTGTAATTGATATTTTAGAATGTCTTTTGATATGAAAACAAAATCTAAATATAAAATAGCGAGTAAAATTAAATAAGAGTTAATAATAAGAAATTAGAAAATTAAATGAACTTTTGAAAAAAGATGGTAATTATTAGTAGATGAAAAATTAGACAGAAGGAAAATAAGTTTAATTTTGAATATACAGCGAGTAATATTTTAGAAGAATAATTTTTATATAAATATCTAATTTAATTTATGAAATAGATAGTAATATTTTTGAAAGGTACTATATAATGTAGATTAAGTAAGTGTTAATTTTAAAATAAAAACAGTGAGTAAGAGTTATGAAAGTAATTGAAAAAATGTAACTAACTAACTATTTTAATTCTAAACTAGATTGTAAAATATTTGAGTGATTTAAAAATAATATATAAAAATTAAAAAAAAATAGGTTGTAATATTTTAAATAATTTTGGATGAAATGAAATCAAGAAGTGTTTTAATTAAAACAGCTGGTAATAATTAATTAATCCTATTAAGAAACCAAAATATGAAAATCTATCTACTACTTATTTATTATAAAGAAATGAAAATTATTTATAAGAAAATTAAGTTTTCAACTAAACCTTTGAATAAAATAAATAGGGTATATATAACATATATAAAGTTTTAATAACAAAAAAGCAAGATTTAATAAACATTTATAAAAATATTAGAAGGTAATTAATTTTTTTACAAATAAATTTATAATTTTCATTTAATTGAAAAACTTAATTTCAAAAAATAATAAAATATAAATCGTTTTTGTGATTTTAAAAAGTGACGAGCCACCAAATTATTGTTAGATTCAGGTAACACAGTTTACGAAATCAGAAATGCGCTTTTTGTTTGTTAGTTTGCTTGCTTGCTTGTTTATTATAAATAAAATAATAATTTAAATTATTGTTAACAAATATTAAAAATAATATGAATTTGTATAATATATTTTTATGTTTTCTATATTATTTGTAGCTTCAACTTTTAATTTCTTTTTTTTTAAAAAACATGAAAAAAAAAATAATTAGAGCGAAATGCCTATTTAATTTACAAAAGGCGAAATGTAATTTATCTTATAAAATAATAAATAAAGCTAAATAAGCTTAAAACAGCTTTATTTATTTTTGAGTTTTTAGAAACCTTTAAATTAGCAAAATGTTAAATTTGAAATAATAGACACCATATATTCTTATAACATGTCATTTTTTTTGAAAAATATAAATTTTGAAAAATTTTTTGTTACCATTTTCAAAAAAGACATTAACTTGTGGGTTATTATTAATATGAGTTTTTTGGATAACTCAGTAAAAGATACAGCTTATTTATAGTGAGCTTCTAACTTTAGAGTAGGTTTAAGGTACAAAAAATTTTTATTTTTTAACTTTTATTGTATATTTTTAAAGTTATTGGTTATTCATATCAAAAAATAATTTTGTTATCCACTAATCTTTTATTCAAAAATAAATACATTTTTTAATGAAACTTCAAAGAATATGAAAAGTATTTGGCTTTTCCCACTATTTATTATTTACCTACTTATTTATGGTTGTTTTAGTAAAAAAACAGTGAGGTATTTTATCTAATATACATTACTTGTTGTATCTATTTTAGCAATTGCATATGTGCTTTGTTAATTGGCTCTCAATATTTGAAGGTAAGATAATGCTTGAACATTTTTAAATTTTATTTTTTAAAGAAAAAGGTCTTTTAATAAGCTCTGGTTTAGAAAGTTGGTGTGAAAATGTTAATATCTGTTTATAATCTTACAATTTATTGTTTTTTACAGCAAAATTTGCAAAAAGTTTTACATCTAAGCTTCATTTATTTAGTTATCTATGTTTCAAATTATATGTTAGATTTACTTCTTTAAAATTATAGTACCATTTATTTATACATATATTTACAATTATGAAGACATTCATAAATTTTAAAGGTTAATAGAACCCAGTTTATATAGAAAACTGATTTATGGTCAATTAATTCAATGATGACATACAATTTAAATTCTAAGATTCTTTACTTCTATGTATTACTAAAGCTATGAATTTTTATATTGTTTTCTTTCTTCCTTTATTTTACGCGCATTACTCATCAAATTTGATTCATTATGTCATTTTGCATATTTTCGTGATTAAGATGATGGCAAGTTGGAATATTTAAATCTTATTTATAAAATGATCTAATATTTAATGCGTATTATTTATTACAATATGTATCAAAGAAAATTGTGATTTGTCAAATATTCTTTTTACAGATCATTTAATTAATATACATCAGATTTTAACAAAAATAAACATTTAAAATATTAACGAATTTAGTTTATAGCGATCTTCTAACTTTAGAGTAGGTTTAAGGTTGAAAAAAATTTACTTTTTTAAACTATTGTTGCATATTTTTCAAGTTATAAGTTATTCATATTAAAAAATAATTTTTTTATCCACTAATCTTTTATCAAAAATAAATATTTTAATGAAACATCAAAGAATATGAAAAGTATTTTGCTTTTCGTGCTATTTATTATTTACCTGCTTTTGGTTGTTTTTGTAAAAATACAGTGAGGTATTTTATCTAATTATTACTTATTGTATCTATTTAAGCAATTACATATTTTCTTTGTTGATTGGCTCTTAATATTTGAAAATAAGATCTGGCTCGAACATTTTTCAATTTTATTTATAAAAGAAAAGGGTCTTTTCATAAGTTCTAATTTAGAAAGTTGGCGTGAATAATATTTGTTTATAGTCTTACAATTTATTGTTTTTTACAGCAAAATTTGCAAAAAGTTTTATATCTAAGCTTCATTTATTTAGTTATGTATATTTAAATATTCCAACTTGCCATCATTTTAATCACGAAAATATGCAAAATGACATAATGAATAAAATTAGATGACTAAATCGCGTAAAATAAAGGAAGAAAGAAAGAAAACAAATAACAATTCATAGCTTTAGTAATACATAGAAGTATAGAAGCTTAGAGCTTAAATTGTTAGCCATCATTGAAGTAATTGACCATAAAATCAGTTTTCTATTTTAAACTGGATGGTACTAACCTTTAAAATTTATTAATATCTTCATAATAGTAAAAATATCAATAAATAAATGGCACAATAAAACTAACATATAATTTAAAACATAGATGATCTCATATTTAATGCGTATTATTTATTACAATATTTATCAAAGAAAATTTTGATTTTTCAAACATCCTTTAATTAATTTACATCAGATATTAACAAAAAATAAACATTTAAAAACTTAACGAATTTTGTTTATATAATTAATTAATTAATTCAACATAATTTGTTAGAAAAAAAAATATTGAGATATAAAAAATGGATATAATCAGCTAAAATCTTCTAGGAACCTAAGAAGCTAAATATAAGCTTGCTTTGCATCTTCAAAATAGGAAAAAAGTCAAAGAGATGTACAGAATGAAAGGTGTATAAATGCTCGATAAGCCTGAGTTAGTCAGTAAAAAATATTTAAATTAATATTAATTTTTTATGAATAAATTGATAATTATAAATATTTAAATATTAAAACTTGCATCCAGAAATTATTAAAGTTTAAACGTTTAATCTGTAAAAATAAAACCAAACCATCCATTTAATAAATTACCCTGTCTTTGTCTTGGTTCTAATCAAATTTTATCTTAATTTTAACAAAAGTTTCTGATATCTAAGAACCTAATATAAAGCCTTAATAAGCTTTAATTTATTAGACTATGAAAAGCGAATTAACTAAAAAAGGCTACTCCGATTTTAGATTTTTAGGACAGGGAGTATAGGGATTAGTTTTATTAGCAAAAGATTCCAAAACTAAAATGAGGTATGCCATCAAAGGTGTTTAAGTTAGAGATCCTCAAGGAAAACTTGACGAAGATCTTAACAATCAAGTGAAGCAAGAAGTAGAAATACTCAAAAAATGTAGAGACTCTCCTTATGTAGTCAGTCTTATAGATTAATTTGAAGGATAACAATTTAGTTACTTAGTTCTAACTGAGTGTTAAGGTACAATTAAAACTAATTTATTTTAAAAATTTATAAATAAATAATAAAACCCCTTAATTTAAAGTTTTTAATTCAAAATAAAATTCTGTAAATAAAAAGGAACTCTCAACTAAATTTTAGAAAGGAACTAAAACAAAAGACTGAATGAAATATCAGCAATCAAGTATGCTAATGACATTGCTCAAGGTCTCTACTACATTCACTCGAAGAACTGCCTTGTTAATGATCTGAAAATGGATAATATCTTAATTGACTATCATGGAAATGCTGTTGTTTGTAAATTTTTAACAAATCTACACAGCTTGATCGATTTGATTTTCCATAAAATATATTAATTAAATAGCTGATTTTGGTTTGGCAGATAACATAATAAATAAATCTGGCTATACTAACAACCAATATGTATACTCTGATATTTTTATCATATTAAAGAGATATTCAAATAATTCAATTCAAAAAAATAAAGATGGGAAACTTGTTATATCAAGCACCAGAGTGTTGTGACCCATCTGATCCATACATAGGTAAGGTTTATCATGATGAATATTTAAAATTAGGCATCACTGTGAGACAAGAGCCAAGCAACAGAGTAAATATTTTATTTAAATTCTTTCTCTCAAGGCTAATTAATATTATTTTTATTTATTCATTAATTTAAATAGAGTGAAGCATGTTCTTTAGGTATGTATTATAAATAAAAAAGCTATTATTTATTTTTATTTAACAAAAATTATGAAAAAGGATATCTAATATATACATTTGTCTAGGGAATAAATTTCAATTTAGCATCAAATAAGCACAAACAATTAAATTTTAATGATGAATTTAAAAATTTTGTTTATCACAAATAGCTTAAATATATTATTGAAGGATTAACTAATTTTGTTCCAAGGAATAGAATGCCTATTAAGGAGGCTTTAATTATTTTAAAGGGAATTATTTCTTTTGAATTTTAGTTAGATGACATGCTTATTGAAATGATAGATGGAAACACTCAGCAATTCACAAGTTCACTCAAAAATGAAATTGAGTTTGTTAGAGATTTGTCAAATAAGTTTTACCCAATTATGTATATTTGTGTATTCTAATCTACCTCTTTTGTTAAATTTTTTAAAGTAAAAATGAACAGACCTTAAACTTAGAGTTAATAGAAGATCATCAAAAAAGACAATATGTTAATTAACATATTTTATTCAAAATATCCTCAATTTATTCAAAATAATTTGTTAAAAAGGAGGCAAAAATAGAAGAATTATAGAAAACAAATCTCTAACTATAAAAAAGAATTAATGAATAAGAATAAAAAATTAAAGATTTACTCACAAAATTAGAATAATCTTAGAATTAGTTAATGAATCAACCTTAAATTATGATGATGCCAACTATGAAAATGAAGGAATAGTAACATGTTATTTTTTAAGAAATTAAAAAATAGGAAAAGAAAGATGAATTGCCAAAAGAAAAAAACTTACTGTAAATTCAATAAATAAGTTTTTAATAGAGATTAATAAAAATATTATGAAAAAGAAAGTATACACTTTTCATCAGTTTACTTCAAAAATATTATTTAATTAATTTTAATATTATAAAAAATAGCATGTAATTAATTCCTTTTGAAAATTATTTATTAACTAAAGAATTATCATTCACTTCAAAAAATTGAATGGCTAATAATTTGTTTAAATTTATAAAACCTTAATAATCAATCTTCCATTTAAAAACTTCTTAGAAAGTAAATTCTTTCAATTATAATTATTAATTTAATCTCATATTTCAATAGCAAGTATATTTATTACTCTTTAATTACTCTTCTCCTTTTTTAAATTATCTTAACCTATTTTAGCACACAAAAAAGGATGTAATTTTATTCACTCAATTTCAACATATCCAAAATTTTTTATTTAAAAGGAAGTAAATAACTTTGAAAATCATGATCATAAATTCATAATCATATTCTTTTAGAGGGTTACATTTTTATCTATAGTTATTACTTAATTCATCTATTTCTCTAATATAGATTGTAATCAATCGTCCTTTCCTAAAAAAATACTAAATTTACTTATATGATAAAAATAGCATGTAAAGTTTTTATCACAAAATGCTCAAGTGAACTTTCATATTCAAAATAGCATGTATTAAATATTTAAGAATGATTTTTGATAAGAAAATAAATGCTGAATTAACTTTCATATTCAAAATAGGAAGTAATTAATATTTTAGAATGATTTTTGATGAGAAAATAAATGCTGAATTAACTTTCTTTTTCAAAATAGGGAGTAATTAATATTTTAGAATGATTTTTGATGAGAAAATAAATGCTGAATTAACTTTCATATTCAAAATAGATAGTAATTAATATTTTAGAATGATTTTTGATGAGAAAATAAATGCTGAATTAACTTTCATTTTCAAAATAGCTTGTAATTAATATTTTAGAATGATTTTTGATGAGAAAATACATACTGAATTAACTTTTATATTGAAAATAGCTTGTAATTAATATTTTAGAATGATTTTTGATGAGAAAATAAATGCTGAATTAACTAACTTTCATATTCAAAATAGCAGGTAATTCATATTTTAGAATAAAAATAAATACTGAATTAACTTTCATATTCAAAATAGCACGTAATTAATATTTTAGAATGATTTTTGATGAGAAAATAAATGCTGAATTAACTTTCATATTCAAAATAGGGAGTAATTAATATTTTAGAATGATTTTTGATGAGAAAATAAATGCTGAATTAACTTTTATATTCAAAATAGCTTGTAATTAATATTTTAGAATGATTTTTGATGAGAAAATAAATGCTGAATTAACTAACTTTCATATTCAAAATAGCAAGTAA